TATATATATATATATATATATATATATATATATATATATATATATATATATATATATTATTATATCAGTACCTTTCCCTGCCTCTCGAATCTCTCGCCTTTGTGTTTTTCTTTCTTAAGCATCCTCTGTTTATATTTAGTCTTTCTATCTATCTACCCCTTTCTCTCTTTCGACTATCTTTGTTCCTCTTTGTTCTGTTAATTAAAGCGTGCTGTCAGATTGATGTGCAGGTATTGAGTGCTCAAGGTCTGCCAAGGCAATATCCGAGTCTCGCCTCTCCAAGAACTCTGAGCTCCCCCCCCACCCCACCCTACCTTCGCCTGCCCTCCCCTACTTCTCTTCCTTTCTTGTCTGATTCTCTTCTCCTCTTCTCTTCTTCTTCTTTTCCCTCTGCTATTTCCTCCTTTCTTCTCTGGCTCGCTTCTCCTGTTTTCGCCCTTCTTTCCTCATTTTTTCGCTTTTCCGCTTCCTCTTTCGCTGCAGGGTGGAGGGTATGGATGAAGAGGAGGAGGAGAAATGAGACGAAAAGAGAGAGAAGGAATTGAGGAAAGGGGATAAGGATGGCGAAGGAGGAGGAGCAAGGGAGGGGAAAGGAAAGGAGAAAGGAGAAGAGAAGAAGAGAAGGAACGTAGGGAGAAGAAAAGAAGAAAATGAAGTGAGGGGTGAGGTGGGGGGAGGGGGGGAGGAAGAAAGGTTGCTCAGGTGAATGTCACCCCAGTAGCAAGACCGATATAGACCCGTTGAACGACATCCCTCTGGCCTGGGGGTATTTTCGGTCCCCTCGGCGCGACCCGGGTGCGTGACGGGGACGGGACGGGGGACGGACGGGCGACGGACGGGCACGGACGGGCGACGGACGGGCGGCAGGCGAGGGAAGGGCACAGGGCGGGCGATGTACGGATATGGGACGGGCTACAGACGGGTACGTGACGGGCGATGCGACGAGCGACGGACGGGGACGGACGGGCGACGGGGACAAACGGGGACAGGCGACGGGCACAGTACGGGACGGGCACGAGACGGGGGACGGGGACGGGCGATGACGAGCTTTCACACGCGTCGACGGTTTCGGTTTTGGACGGTTCGCTATTTTGCGTTTAAATCCTCGTTCCTTCGGTGCTTTCGGGGTTATCAAACGGACGTGCAATCACCTGCGGGTCTCTTGCACTCATTTTTCTTCCTGTAGCCTTGTTCTACGTAAATCTCCTCCATTACTTCTTAAGTTCCAGTCGGCCACCCCCATATATATATATATATATATATATATATATATATATATATATAAAAAAGAAGAAACAAAAACAAAAACATGAGTGAAAAATAGGGCAAGAGAAGAAATGAGAGAATCAAGATGCCGGAGAGAGGTACAATGAGATCCGGGGGCCTCCCTCCCCTACGCCCCGTCCCCTCGTCCCATGCCCCCCCCCTCCTCTAAGTATGCCGAGGTAGGAAGGGTGAAGGGAGGAAATGCATTACACTTGGGGGTATGAGGGAGGAGGGAGGGGAAGGGAGGAGGGCTTGTATGTAGGGATATATATACCTATATGTGTGTGTGTGTTCTCGTATGTGTGTGTGTGTGTGTGTTTCTCTTCTTTTTCCATTTCTCTTCCATCTTCCCCACTCTATCTGCTCTTCTCTTTCTCCTCTCTCTCTCCTCTCTCTCTCTCTCTCTCTCTCTCTCTCTCACACACACACACACACACACACACACACACACACACACACACACACACGCACACACTCACTCAATCAATCACTCTCTCTCTCTTCCTCCCTCCCTCCCTTCCTCACTATTCTAGTGTATACGATTTTGTAACAAAAGAAAGAAGTATACAGACATGAACACCAATAAATCGGCCCAAAACAGGAAGAAACCCGGAAAGGAAGCCTCCACAAAAGAAGCCCAGGAAGCATCCACCTCGGAGGAGGAGAGGGTATCGAGCCCCCCCCCCCCCGCGGGCCCGAAGCAGCGAGGAAATTAAATGTCAAGAGAACACTGTGTTACCGTACCATAGTCCGCGTCCTTTTCCTCCCCCTTCGTACACGCACACGCACATACACACATGCATACGCACACGTCTACTACTTCCCTCCTTTCTCTCTTTCTCTCTGTCTCTGTCTCTCTTTCTCTCTCTCTCTCTCTCTCTCTCTCTCTCTCTCTCTCTCTCTCTCTCTCTCTCTCTCTCTCTTCTATCTATCTATCTATCTATCTACTTATTTATCTATCTATCTATCTATCTATCTATCTATCTCTCTCTCTTTTGTCTCTCTCTCTCTCTCTCTCTCTCTCTCTCTCTCTCTCTCCTCTCTCTATCTATCTCTATCTATCTATCTATCTATCATCTATATATATATATATATATATATATATATATATATATATATATATATATATATATATATATATCTGTGTGCGTGTGCCTACTTTTTCCTCCGTTGATTCTTTTGCATAACACATATTTATATTTATATCTTTTTCGTCTTTTCTTTTAAGAGGCATTTCCATTCTCCTGTTATCTGTAATGATACTTTTAAAGATTTTTGCAATTTTTCGTTCATTCCGTCCATTGTCCATTGTTTGCTTTTCTCATGTGACTATAAGGAGATATTTCTTCATTTCCTTTATGTTTTGGCTTATTCTTATCCGATTAGCATTCAAAATGAGCAAAAATAGATAGGCCGCAAACTTCCATGACGAAACAGAATCTATCCCTGGTGTCAAGCTACTGTGTCAAGTGTCACTTTACAAACCCAAAGTATATATATAGATATTTACATATACTTTGTACAAACCTATAGGTGCCTCGGCTGTCAGTCACGGGGACCTCGTCTGACCTGACACCGCTCTTGACCTTCCTGTGGCCTTTCCTGCTTCTTTCTTTTCTTGTGTATATATATATCTTCCTTTTTCTTTTCTCTTCTCTCCCATCCCCTTTACAGTCGCAAAAGTTTTCAAAATCACAATTATATTTTCTTTCATCGTTTAAGTAGTCAGGGGTAAGTATATCAATCTAAGTTCAGTTCAGTATATCAGTCAAAGTTCCCTCACACACACACACACACACACACACACACACACACACACACACACACACACACACACACACACACACACACACACACACACACACACACACACACACACACACACACACACACACACGACCTGCCGCATGCCAGATGCAATCACGAATAAGACTTGGAAAATCCTCATTCAAGCAGGAGATGAGAGGAAGGGCGAGCGAGACAACAGAAAACTTCTACAAGAGATCAAAAGCGGATTGAAATATTAGAGAAAAATAAAACTTTAATCTCGATCCAAAATCTGGCAACAGCTGTCGAGCGAGGGAAGGCGTGTTCGAAAACGATGATGGATTTTTATCCTTTCTTTAAATATTTCTGGGTCTTTAACTTTATCCCTTTATTTTGTACACAAGTACACAATAGAGAACAAAAATCAACCAATGAGAAAATAAGAATTTACGGACATGAAAGAGAAAGTATTTTTACTGACGAAAGAATTTTATGCAAAGCTTCGGTCACGGGGCTTGGCTTCCCATCCTAAACGAACAGGTGTCCATCACTCGAACTTTTCCCAAGGGACTCACCCATCGGGAGTTATCTAAAAGGAATTCTGTTAGGGGACTTATTCAAAATTACATTCAAAATTACTCATCCAAGGGACTCATTTAAAATGACTCATTCAAAATGACTCATCCAAGGGACTCATTTTAAAGGACTCATCCTTGGGACTTCTCCAGAAAAAACATTTAAAAAACGACTTCCCTCCTTTTCATTCTCCCTTCTCTTTCCTCCGTCTCCCTTTAAAACGAAGGCACAGTCTTATTAGTCTCTCCACATGGCTTACGTAAATTGCATAAATCGATGTAGAAAAGGGTATGAATGATCATGAATTAAAATATATTAATTCTCATACATGCCTTCTCTACATTTGTCAACAGGAATACGGTTCATACTCATAAATCAAATACTGTATAACCATTTTCATGTGTTATACTTATTCCATTAACGCTGTTAACCATGGAGTGCCCCAAGCCTCAGTAATGGGACCCGTTCTCTTTCTTTTATATATAAATGATGCAGTCAGTGCTATTGAACTGAACTGTATAAATGGTGAGGATGACGATTGTTACTCTTTTGGAAAGTCAACTGTAGGATTTGATAAATATGATAAACGATAAGCTAAGAGGCGTTTTTTAAAAACAAGCTGACATTAAGTGTTGCTGAAAACCATTGTGTTCTTTTATACAAATAAAGATAAGCCACTTGCCTGACTAGATGTTACACTTGCAGGTGTTCCCTTCAAAGAGTCATGAATATGAAGTACAGATTCTTCGGCAACGAGATTGAATTTCTTTTGAAATACGCAGCACAATAAACAGCATGTGGATTATTGTACTCAAGGTAATAATATCTATCTTGTAAGATTACTTAGACTTTATGATTTTTAGGCATATCCACTGAAAGACTAGTTCTGTTCTTTTAGATCATAAGAGAGTCCAGAAACATCAACTTTATTATACTGCGGCTGAAAAACCAAACCCACAAAATCAATGCAAAATGTATGCACCTAAGACATTATAAAAACAATACTCTCTGATGAGAACTTTGATTTTGAAGGTTCTTAGAACTCTTGGTAATGATCTATTTTGTTTTAGAATTAACAGACAATCTCTTGTGAGGAACAACACTACCCTTAATGCCCTATCATACGATCTGAACAACTGAAATGAACCAACAGTCTAGAATACCTTTCCTAAATGAATGGAACTGTGTACATTGCATGACTTCAAATGTACATCCAGAATCTTTTATGGTAATGTGCACAAATATTTAATATTTTTGCCGGTTTTCTTTTTCTTGCCCTACCATTAACCTATTGTATTCCACACCATTTTTTTTTCTTGCCCTACTCTATTAATCTATTGTACATAATATAATTATATATTAATTAAATAACAACTATTATTATGCACCAGTACGTGCTGTGGTGCAGTGGTAGCAGTCTCGTCTGGCAATCTCTCTGACCCGCGCTCAGTTCCCGCACCGCCAGTGGATGGCAACCCCGGCCGTTCCTTGCACATGGGATCATTTAGAAGCAAAAAGAAACAAACAGCCTGTCGCACCAAAAATAACTATTGAAACAAATGGAATAAAACTAAATCATTTTATAATTTCATTTGATGTATATACATATCGAAATAAACCCAGACTCTGTGTTTATCAGTGAAAGTGAAAATGTCACAATCAATCTGGATCTTGGAGTTATAGACTAAAGGATAAATGTCTACATTTTCATATTATACTTTATAAACTTGCCTGGTATTTGTCAAGACAGATAGTAAGACAAATGTATTTTAATCTTAACCGCTTTTATATATTTTGTTTGTAATGGTGACTTTTATGATAATCATATTAACGAAATAAATGCTTCAAGATCTTTCCTTGGGGAATACTAATCTTGGAGGACAGACACGTTCCCTTTAACTTGTATTATAAATGTAAACGTGGAAATTTTTTTTGGTTAAATAAAACCTTTTGATTCTGATTCTACTTCCGCCTCTCTCTACTTCTTCATTCCAACGGCCTCTCTCCCCTTTCCTCAATTTCTCACCGTCTGTCTCCATCACTTTCCTTTCCTTTATTCCACCTTGCTCCGTCCCATTCCACGTCTCTGCAACATTCCCTCCACCTCCTCATACTTCCTTTCACCCCACCCTCCCCTACCACCACGTCCTCCCCCACCTCCACATACTGCCCCCTCCCCCACCTCCCTCCTCCTTCCTCCTCCACCACCTCCTTCCCCTCCCCCATCTCCACCTTCAGATCCCCGACGCCTCCTCCACCTCCCCCCCCTCCTTCTCCCTCCCTCCCCTCCACACCCTCCCTATTCCTCCTCCCCTCAGCTGCCCTCGCATGGGAAGTTTCCGCGCCCGACCCGCCACGGAAGCTCAGGTCGCCCCCCCCCCCCCCCCGTTACCTCCATGCGCCTCGGTCGATCGGGGGAGTGGGGGAGGGGGGAGGGGGAGGGAGGTCCCTTTTCATCCGTCGTTTGTCCTCTTATTTGTCCAGGTCTTCTTTTTTTCTCTTCTTTCTAGAGAGAGAGAGCAGAACTCAGAGTGATGAGAGAGAGGAGAGAGAGATTGGAGAAGAGGGAGGAGAGAGAGAGAGAGAGAAGAGGAGAGAGAGAGAGAGAGAGAGGAGAGAGAGGAGAGAAGAGAGAAGAGAGAGAGAGAGAGGAGAGAGAGGAGAGAGAGAGAGAGAGAGAGAGAGAGAGAGAGAGAGAGAGAGAGAGAGGAAGAGAGAGAGAGAGAGAGAGAGAGAAGAGAGAGAGAGAGAGAGAGAGAGAGAGAGAGAGAGAGAGAGAGAGAGAGAGAGAGAGAAACAGAGACATATAAACAGACAACCAGAAAAAAATAGATAAACAGATAGACAGAGAGATAGATAGAGAGAAAGGCAAGCAGTCGAGTCCATCGTCTTTACCCTGGCCGGCAGCCGGTCGCCTTTAGGATATCCAGGCCCCTCTCCTGCCCGGGGCCATCACCCCCCCCCCCACGTCTTTTTTAATTTCTTAGACACTATTTCTGATCCACTTATTACGAGAGTTTGCTTCTGTTTCCTAATAACTCTTTTTGTTTATTGTTGTTGATACGATTATTGCCTTGTTATTGTTATTATTGTTATTGTTATTATCATTTTATCATTATTTTTATCACTATTCTTATCATTATCATATTATCATCATTATTTATTATCATTATTATTATTATTATCATTATTATTATTATTATTATTACTATTATTATTATTATTATTATTATTATTATATTATTATATTATTATTATCGTTATCATTGTTATTACTAATACTACTACCACTACAGCAACTATTATTATTATCATTATAATAATAATAATTATTATTATTATTATAACTATCATCATTATTATTATTTATTATTATTATTATTATTATTATATTATATTATTATATTATTATCATTATTATTACTATTATTATCATTATTATTAAACTTTTCATAATTATCATTACTATTATCATTATTGACAGCAGTAGCAGTAGTAGTAGCATTGTTATTGTTATTATTATTAGTAGTAGTATCGTTATTATTACTATTACTATTATCATCATATCCGTCATTATTACTATTCATATCATTGTCATTATTTTTGTTATCATCATTGCTACTGCTACTCCTACTTTTATCACTATCATGGTTATCATTAATTATCAATATCATTGTTATTATCATTATCATCATTAGTGGTAGTATTAGCATCATCATCATCATCATCATCATTACTAACATTATCATTACTATTATTATTATTTTCTATTCATATTTCTGAGGACCAATTTCACTTCACTTTCTCTCCGAATTATATCTCTTTGATTCTCTTTATCCATATTTTTTTTGGGAATCTCCTTATCTCCCTTTTCTTATGAATATTTAAAAGGAGAGAAGGAGGGAAGGGGGGGGGAGTATTCTCGGTTTGCTTTAGGGAAAAATGCATTTGTGTTTGGTGTGTGTGTGTGCGTGTGTGTGCGCGTGTTTGTGTGTGTGTGTGTGTTTGTGTGTGTGTGTGTGTTTATATAGGTACAAGGTTGCTTATGTTACGCACGTGTATGTATGCACTTATGTATCCATATATATATGTCTATGAATATGCATGCACATATGTGTACAGTATGTGTATACGTACACGCGCCCCCGGAAATGAACTCAGTTTCCCAGGTGTGTCGCTTCACACTTTTCCAGGCCAAGGTAGGGGGAGGGGGAGGGAAGGGGGAGGGAAGAGGGGGGGGGAGGGGATGGGAGGGGAGAGGGGAGGGGATGGGAGGGAGAGGGGGAAGGGAATGGAGGGAGAGGATGGGATGGGAGGAGGAGGATGGGGATGGGATGGGGAAAGGGATGGGGATGGGGAGAGGGGCGGGAGGGGGGGAGGGGGAGGGGGGCGGAAGGGCATCATGTGGCAGAGGAAAACATTTCTCCTTGTACTTTTTTCTTTCTTCTTTCCTTCCTTCTTTTTCTCCTTTTTCTTCTCCTTCGTTTCCTCTTTCTTTCTTCTTCCCTTACTTCTTCTTCTCCTTCTCTTTCTTTTCCTCTTTCTTCTCCTTCTTCCTTCAAGGCAATCCCTTTCTAACCAAACCCTTCTATAGATCCTCTTTTAAACAACCCTTTCTAAGAAACTCCCTTCTAAGCAATTCCCTCTAAACAAACCTTTTCTAAGCAACTTTCTCAAAGTAAACCCCTTTGTAAACACCCTTTTCTAAGGAACTTTCTCCAAGTAACCCTCCTTTCTGAACAACCTTTTCTAAGCAACTTTCTCCAAGTAAGCCCCTTTGTAAACAACCTTTTCTAAGCAACTTTGTCTAAGTAAGCCCCTTTCTAAGCATATCCTTTTCTAATTAACTGTCTAAGTAAGCCCCTTTCTATGCAAATCCTTTTCTAAGTAATTTTCTCTAATCAACCCCTTTCTAAACAACCTTTTCTAAGCATCTTTCTCTAAGCAACCCCTTTCTAAGCAACTCCTTTTCTAAGCAACCCCCCCCCCTCCCCGTGCCCGCCTAGAGCCATCCATTTCGGGTTTAGCGGCGCCGCTTGGCATCTTTCGCCTTGGCAGGTTTTGGGGAGTTTTAAGTCGAGCAAGGTGAGACGAGGAGGGGGCGGCAGGGAGCGGTAGAGCGATAGGGAGTGGTAGGGGGGGCAGGGAGCGGTAGGGAGCGGCAGGGAGCATAGGGAGTGGTAGGGAGCGGTAGAGTGTGGTAAGGGGTTGGTCGGGGTTGGGAATAGCAAGGAGAGGCAAGGAAGACAGGGCGGTAGGGATAGCAGGGAGCAAGAAGTAGGATGTGTATGTAGGGAATGGGTACATGGAGAGAGGATATATAGAGTAGAAGACGATAGATTATTATAGGAGAGAGAGAGGAGAGAGAGAGGCAGGAGAGGAGAGAGCGAGAGAGAGAGAGAGAGAGAGAGAGAGAGAGAGAGAGAGAGAGAGAGAGAGAGAGAGAGAGAGAGAGAGAGAGAGAGAGAGAGAGAGAGTGTTAAGGGAGAGGAGAGAGAGAAGAGTTAAGGAGAAGGAAGAGAGAGAGAGAGAGGAGAGAGAGAGAGAGAGAGAGAGAGAGAGAAGAAGAGAGATGAGAGATGAGAAGAGAGAGAGAGACTGAGAGACTGAGAAAGAGAGAAACCGAGATACAACGCGAGAAAGAGGCAGAGAGAGCGAGAGCGAGCCACGCCACACCACCTGCCCCGGTGTCCTCTGGGTAATCGACACAGGTGGTTCTAAATTTATGCCGTTAACAAAGACGCACCAACTGGCTCCGGCGTTTTGTTGTTTAATAGTCGTTCCTCCTGTCCTTCTCTTGCCCTCTTCCTCCTCTTCTTCGTCTTCTTCTCCCTCTCCTCCTTTCTTCTTTCTCCTCCTCCTCCTCCTCTCCCTCCTCCTCCTCTTCTTCTTCCTCCTCCTCTTGTCCTCCTCCGATGCCTGATGTGGTCTTTGGGTTAATGAGGAGGAGGAGGAGGTCTCGACGGAGGGAGGCGCTGAAGACATTCTGAAGACCTGATGAAGACCAGGTGGCGAGAACCTGATGGCGGGGACCTGTTGGTAGGGACCTGCTGAAATCTTGAGCCTGAAGAGCTGGCGTTCGCGATCTGCTAGAGACCTGTGTGGTGACGACCTGAAGATAGACACCTGTTGAAAGTTTGGGGCTGAAGAGCTGGCATTTGAGACCTACTAAATACCTGATGGTGAGGACCTGAAGCAGAACACCTACTGAAGGGTTAATGAAAGCCTGTCAGAGATTTGGGGGAAGACCTGCTAAAGACCTAGCGAAGAACTGCCGTAGGCCCTGGAGCTGAAGACCTACCAAGACCCTGATACTGGCTACATGATGAATACGTGAAGCTGAAAACCCAAGGGACGAGTACCTGCTGGAGACCTGCTAAAAACCTGACGATGAAGACCTGCGAAGACACGTAAAAGACCCAAAGACCTGTTTAAGATCTGGCGCTGAAGGCCCGCTGATGACCAAGAAATGTAGCGTTCTGTGGGCGATACTTGGCATAGCTCTCAAAACAATTCCTTCTGTGGCTAGCAATGCATTAACAGCTCAAAGAAATCCCATTTAATTTTCTACTTTC